CAATGATCCTGAGCCCACCCTGCTCCTGTCACATCATCCTGGGCCGCTGGGTGCGACAACTCGCAATAATCGCCCCAACAGCGGCGCGCCCCTCGCCTTCCCCTCAGAGGGGCGGGCAGGTGGGAATTCAAATGCAGGCAGTCTTGAACACCGGCAGTTGCGTCGAGTACCGGGCAGGGATGCCTGCCTCACATGCACCCGAGGGACTCGTCAACGCTGTTGGTCAGTAGCGGGCCCGGCGGTGGCGCGTAAAAGGAAGTCACATGCCACCCCTCGACCCGAGAGTTATCACAGACTCTCGCGTCTCCCGAACTAATTAATTCGCAATCTCTTATCAGGGAATTATCAACGAGAAGGGCAACCTCGCCCCGAGGACGGTCCTCCCCGCATCTGCCAGTAGTGCGCTGCCCTGCGGCGCCGTGGGCGAGAAAACCCAAGCACCCAGCTTCTTGCTGGAAAAAGCCCCACTCCCGTGGAGAGACACGGGTTTCTTTCCTAGAAAATCAAGCAACTGCTCAGCTGAGTGGCCACCGACAGCAGAGCCGGAGGCTCGCGCAAACCATGACCATTCTCTCCACGCAACAAGATGTCGCTACAGCCTGCTCGCCGCCCGATCCATGAAAAGGAATAGGAGCTGGTCTTGTAGGACCTCACTATCTGGCCGCAGTGTCTCAGCCAAGGCAACCCATGTCTTAGCCATTTTGACACGAAGGGCGTCATCTGCTTGCTGCAAAAAACCACTACCATGGATGAAATCGTGCGACGATGTGGTGACTGCCGGATCGCTGGTTGGCACACTGGGAGGGTGCGTTAAAAGAGGTAACAAGGCAGGGGGCGCACCACAAGGCACACTGAATGGGGGGGCCCACAAACCGAGCTAGCGCGAAATGGGGTCGAGGCACTCCTGCCGGGGCTCCTAGCAGAGAACAGCAGCCCAACCTTACTTTTCGCAGCGGCCAAGGCTACGGGTCTCCTCGTCTCCTCCATGATGTTGTAGATTACAGCTAGAATTGAATAGGCAAGCACGAAGAAGGAACACAGCAACAAAAGCAACCGTCAAATCCAGGCAGTCTTGAACACCGGCAGTTATGTCAAGTACCTAGCAGGGATGCCTGACTAACATGCACCCAAGCGGCGAAAATCCCCTAGCAGTGCTCCACGATGGTTCGTGATCGTTCTACACGCGGAGGGGCGTGACTGGCCCTGCTTAATCTTCTACTCGCCGAGAACGCACTTCGCCACTACGCTCGCAAACACCCACAGCCTATGTCTGGGAAAAAGACCCTCATGTCTGAAGGTTAGGGGAGAAACTCTGACTTGCTTCTCTTCGTAATTTGTGTTTGGGCCTCTTCCGCCTCGAGGCGAGCCTCCTCGACAGTCACAGCCTGCAAGTGTCCAACTGCTTGAGTTCAAAGATGGACAGTTTCGATATGGTTTGGAAGCTGTTGAGAAGCCCACGCCAGAGCAAGTGCTCACAGCTGTGGCATGCACGCCATCGAGGTCTTCCAGGCTCACATCATCTCAAGTAAATGTCGCAGACGTGTTGAAATCGTTCAAAACCACAGCAATACACATCTTTATGTTCCGTGCCTGCATAGGGAAGCTGTCGATAGCTAGCCTGGCGGAAGGGAGCCCGGTGTAAAATGGAGGCTCATGATGGAGGGAGAGGGATTTGGTTCAGAACAAGTGTTGCCAATCAGTTTTAGAGGTGGATGTAGGTGTTGGGAACGCTATGAGGATGCACACTCCCTGATAGACTTTGATGTCATGAGCCAAGCCCATCACCAGCCTCTGAGGCTGCATGTTGCAGAGAAGCTCCGCCCGCGAGGAGTCTTTTATCTGGGCCACCATGATGTTTGGACTTGTGCAATGTACCAAGAGCTATCATGAGGTCGACTGTGAGCTTACAAACAGTCACAGAACAGTGTAGGGCTGGGCTAACAATCCCCCGCGCGAGGGTGTCCTCACTCTATGAACTATGACCCGATTTCTTTTCTATGTCTGGGTTGCGCAAGATGCTGTTGCAACAGCCGGTCTTTACACGACCAATTCTAAGAAGACTCTGGCGAAGACAAGGCACAGTTTGCTGGTCGGAGTGATGCCAGGCAGTACATGTGAAGCTGCGCAACTTACGCAAAGCTCGTGGTGCTTTGCTGTCAGCTACCGTACATGGGCTGTACAGGCTGTTGCGGCCAAAGCACTTGCAGAATAGGTTCTTCAGAAACCATTTCAGAGTGCACTTGCAGCGCTTCGCCGTTCAGACCCTTGACCATCTTGACCTTGTGCTTTGCTAGGGCTTGTCAGTGTCACAATGACATGAGCGGCTGCATGTAGCAGCAAAGATCGGTCGCAAGGATGCATTGGAAGCGTGCACATGTGCATGTTGGGGCCTGCGAAGAGCGAAGTTCGCGCAGCTCGCGCTCTAGTGCTTGAATCTTCCTAGCAGAGCAGGCTTCTCATCCGTAGGATTTTCGATGAGCTCGTGAAGGAAACTAGCTGGCAAGGACTGAAGCTGAGAAATTCTTGGCTTGCTGGCGGTTGCCAGCGTGGCGGACAACAGTTACAAGTCCAAATTGCCCGGACAACCGAGCGACACCACTGCGTGCAGCTGCTGCACACAATTTTAACTGCCGGAGCTAAATACAGCCGTGAAAATCCTTGCCACCTTCAAAGTCAGCATTACCGCGAGCAGCATCGGCGCCCGATTCATGAATGGATCTATTGACATGACAAGCTACTGGCAACACGTTGATCCAGCCGCGGCTCCTGTTGATAGAGTCCGGGCTGAGTAAATGCACAGCAGTCTGGCTGTCTTCGTAAGCCTGGGGAATCCGTGTGTACGGCTTGAAGGCATGGAGGTGTAGTTGCGAGAAGCAACAGCAAGTGAAAGGAACGTTCTTTTACTTAAGCCAGAAACCCAGGAACATGATCTCCTCTTGGCATAGTGCCATGAGAGCAGGCTCATAATTGTGTACAATCATACTTCACCGCCCCAAACTTAGAATAGCCATGCTTGCCTGGAAATATGAAAGCAATGGAAGGACATGAAACCCTTCCACGTCGCGAAGCACCAAGCGATTCCGTTCTTATTGCCGTCTCCTGTACCCCAAAAGCGCCCTCCAAGCGCAGCAACCATGAGCTGCTCTCATCCCTCGACTGTCATGATCCACGCTTGCAACTGCAGCCAGCCTCGAGCATCTGGTTTCTAAACGCCCTCCAAGAAGCGTCCTCAGTTGCAGTTTTTTCGGGCAGTGCAACCTGCATGTTGGCTGCTCCATGGTCAAACATGCGCACATGCAAAACGATGTGCTCAAAATATTGAGCCAGGTATCCAGAAACTGGGCAAAGGCTGCTTGGCCAGAACGGTCTGCCATGGCACCGAGTCTGCTGCAACCGCCCGCAATTCCGAATCGTGACAATTACTATGGTCCTTTGCGGAGGCAACGCCTGCTGTCGTCCACTTCTTCAAAGTGGAACCATGGGGAACACGTATTCAGCATTCAGTGTCTCTTTTGGGTTCGGGCGTTCTCTGTTGCGGATGCCGCATGCCCTCCCCTGACAAGAGTAGTGTCGTGTCCTTGCAACCATTGGGTTGGTAAGCCACAGATCCATCACGACTTGCTGCAAAAGCTCGCTAAACAGTAGCAACAAGATGCTCAATGCCTATCACATCTTGACGTGTTGAATTTCTCTGGCAGCATGCCACCAGCGATCAGCAGAAGGCCATGATGTTGCAAGACACTTGGTTCCTTTTGCCCTGATACATTGCGGGGTAGCTTTGCCAACCGTGAATGCAAGCCACAGGGCGCGCCTTACCTGGAGTTACGTGGCCAAACTGACCGGGGTTGTGAAGTGCACATGGGTACTCAGGACTTGGCATCGACTTTGCATGTTTTCGAAATCTGAAGGCACGTCCCGCGTAAGGCACATTCTGCGCAGACTAGAAAATTTGAGCATTTGTGAGCAGTGCGCAAGTTATCGTCCTCTCTGCAAACCAGAATCAAAGGAATCTTTTCTACACCGTGAATTCTTGAAGAAGCTAATTAGCTGTCAGTCAAGAACACCGCCATTTGTTCGGTGCCGTACGCCACTTCCCACACTTGCTTGGCGAACGGCAGCCGGGGCTATCCCGAAAGTCGGACTTGCTGGAAAGGATCAGCGCCAGCACAGTGTTGGAAAGGGTCTTTGAGATGTGCCGAGCTAGCGTAAAGATGTCGTTTGGTTTGCTGGTCTCTGGCTCGTTCCCTGATTCAAACCTTCCTTTCCCGCTCCTTTCCAGCATTGAAGGATGCCGAAGCACACTGCCTGCGCGGAAAACGTAAAAAAACATTCAAGAAAAATCTGAGCAGTTATCGTGTGAGCAAGCGACCAAGCCTCAGCATTCTTGGCAAAGATCCAGCTGATTGCTGGAATTTAAACTGCTCTGGTGCCTCGAAAGTTGAAAACCGCAAAGATGCTACAGTAATGCTACAGTAATGTCTGCATGGGGCTGCTGGGACGCTCCCCTGTGCAGACAGCGATGAGGATACAAGGGTCCTTGACAACTACGCCCCTATGTGAACTGCCTGTGCAAGGAAAATGCGTTCCGCTCAAAGTCCAGATCTCCCGGGACTCAATAGATGCAAAACCATCCTGTTGCTCCTCAAATGACAGCCACATATCGTGATTTAGGGAAGATCTTATATGTCACATCCAGTACTAGATTCGTTTTTGGACGCAAGCTCAGCTCAGAGGTCTAGAAGCACAGAAGCAGAGACCCGCTCCGCTCAGCGGGTGAGGCCCTCAGATGCTTTGTGCTTCTGAGAGTGAGTTTCACGCTTTCATCTGATCGGGAGCTTCATGGCATGCTCTCGTCCATGTCCTTTTTTGCTTGAAGTACGGAATCTTATATGTAAACAGAATCTTATAGGGAAACAGCCGGGATCTGTGTGAACTTTTCCGATCAGATCGCGACACACGTCGCCGGGGCAAGCTGCCCGTGTTTCGGACCGCTGCACCCTTCAAACGTTTGCAACTCTTGGTCTTGCCCTTTGGGCCGACGCTGACTTAGATGGAGATGGCGAGCAAGTTGTGCACCGATGCAGTTCCTCCCTCATCTCCTGCTGAGATTGCAAGGTCTGCGAACATCTGAGGTCAGGTTTGGGCTCATTATGCCATTGTGAGCATTGCTGCTTGACACCCGGGCACCGTTGCCTTTCGGAGCACCTCATTGGCCATTTTCTGCTCATCCTTGAATTCCTTAGCAAAGCGAGACAGGAGATTTGTCACCAGGCTTTCAAGATACGGGGTAACTTTGAACCTTGATGCTATTGGACTCTTGGAGCGGAAATGCGCATGACAGAGCATTCACATCTCCAACCACTTGATGCTACCCAAGCCTCGTGCCCCAGAACAACAAGCTGAGGGGTCATCAAGATCCTCGCCTAAAAACTCTGAGGTTGTCCAGCACTTGCGTCCAGGTGTCCAACACCATGTTTTGCACTGCTTTGGCTGCCAGCAGTGCGGCCACGGTATCGGACTTGTTGATCTCACCACGGATCTTCAGCAAGCCCTGTGCAAGGTTTTGGCGGCAGTAATTATCTTCTCACTTACCCCGGTCATTGATCTCAAACACTGCAAGAATACTTGAATCGATCAAGAGCATTCAAGTTCAAGCTTCAATGGGCATTGCGCAAGAGCAGTCTGAAAACATTCCAAAAGCATTCTGAGAAAGTCCAGCGTAACTCCAAGGGGGCTGTAGAATTACAGGGTCTTCCCAAATCTAAGTTAGATGCCACTTAGAGGATCCTCACTGGCTTTGGGAAAGCAGAAGCCAGAGTCATGATGTGTACATGAGGATTGCAATTCCATTGTGTCTGATCCCCACAGTCACAGTTGTCAGCAACTTTGCTGTCAGCAATCAAGCGCATTCCCAAGGTCTAATTCAATTCCAGTGACAAGGATTAGAGCGGCTCCCCACCCACTCTTAAGTCGACGAATAGATTGCCAGACACCGGGCCGCAGGTGCTAACACATAATTTGGAAGAGGCATGCTTTGGGGATGTTGTAGCGAGCTGCTAGAATGGACTGGGGTTTAAAGAGTTCGGTCTTGTGGAGTTCTGGCCCAACCATATAGATCAAAGGATGCGTGACATCTGCCCCAAATCTGGTATGAAATGACGGCCCTAATGAGCTTTCCCTCTCACGAACACAGAAGCAAGAACCCACGTCTGTGGTTCCTGAAGGAAGGTTCGTAAGAATCACAAAGAGCCAAATTGAAATGAATGCGCCACAAACTCCTTCAGACAGAATGTCTATCATGCCTCAGGCAACTGCGCATTGCATGCCAACCTGCACAAGCTCCGCAATGGCCAAAGTTCCACTCCCGTCGGCGTCAATCACCTCAGGAAGCAAACACCAAGGAAGCTGCGGTGGATCCACCCATGGGCAGTAACAAAGCCCATCTCCCAACAAGATGTGGACTGCTTTGCCTCGTGTCTGTCTGGCAAGCTGTAGCAAAAAGCAACACAGCAGTCTAGTGTAACAAAGCGAGATGGCTGGCGTCGTGCAACGTTCAGCGTCAGGGTATTGACAAGTCAGGCTGCAGCCCTCTAGCCTACTTTTGGCGCAATGCTCTGCAAGATGCTCCTGCATTGTTGCATATTGCTGCCCAACAACTGCGCATGTCGTGTGCATGCAAAACATGCAAAGCGTTCAGCATTTCCTCCTTCAATCAAGTGCAGGCAGCTCTTTTTACAACACGGAGGCAGCTTCCAATTGCATTGGCGGTTTATCTCCATCCGGATTTCGTATCACGGGTGTCCTCTTAAACCCTGTGAGGGCACAGGAAGATCCATTGAATGAACGACTCGAAGAAGCCTTCACATATCGAGTACGTCAGATGCCACCCCACCGTGTAGAGTGGAAAGAGTGGTCCAGCGGAACAGACCCGTGCCTGTGCCCCTGGAAACCCACCAAGGAAGGGGACGAGCTTCCCAAAGCTTACTCCCTCCCCGAGCAGGGAGGTGAACCTCGGGTTGGAAAAACAATGCTGGTGCCATGGGCCAGTTAACTTTCGAAAGGAAACGAGTATCGAATCCAGGTGGTGTGGGTAGCGGGCAAGGCAAGTTAGAACGCTTGGCAGAATGCCGCGCATAAGTCATAGCTGCTCACCGAGCCTGCCCTAAAGATTAAGCAGAACACATGCGGGGTGCATGACTTGTGCACGCAAGGCGCGTGCAAACCCAGGGATCTACAGTAGTTCCATGTTATCACTGCACTATGGTAGCCCATGTCCCCCAATAATATAGTAGTTTCCTTTTTCTTTTCCAGTATCCTACTATAACCCCAATATATCCCTTCTATAACCCCATAGACCCTTGGTAGTTCCCATTTTCTTCTACATCCCGTATCCACGGATTTTCTGCTCAGGTGCCTAATGCATTATGGGAAAGCAACAACTTGGCTGAGGACCAGGAGAAAGAGTAACCTATGGTCCGACGGAGGAGCTATGCGCCTTGAATCCCTGAGCCTGCCAGAAAAGATCAATCAATCAGAGCCTCAGGCGCCGCTGGAGTTGGAGCAATGCCATCTGGGCAAGGCGATCCAGGCTTACATTCTGGCCTGTTACTTCGACCAAGGCCATAAGTAAAATGACGCTGTCAATCCACCAAATCCTGCACTGAGCATGGAAATGGTCTGGGAGTTGGGGAACCCATTGGAGAATAAGAGCAACTCCATTGGTGCCGTGGCCACTTCCTCGTCGCTCGAAAGACGCAAGGCACGCGAAGTCATGGCAAGCATGGTACGCACCAACTTTTCTGTGCGAGGGGCGGGCTGCGGCCTTCACCTCCTTCGGAGACCCCTTTTCCGGTCAGGCTGCATTAGAGGCAGCGCATTAGGACGTAAAGACGAAAAAATGACAAACATGGCGCAAGGTGAGCATGAAAAGGGACAGTAGCGAAGGCGGCTTCAAGCCAACCTGTGAGGTTGTCGGGCAGGGAGTCTTGGCATACAGTCAGGCATCAATCGTCAGCCATGCGCCACTGAGAGCAATCACTCCTGAGGCATCAATTGCCATGATGAGGTGACACCCCAGAAAAAAGAAGGGGGACATTTTTCTGGCAAGGCACCTCACAACAACAAAACAAATTGGGACGCTTGGCAGGATGCCACCTGCCCGTGTTTTGGTCGTGGACCGAAATGCTGCAGCACGCTGCTCGCCAAAACACTTTCGTCGACCACATTGAAATTGTTGTTGTTGTCCTAAGGTGGCTGTCAATATTACATCCCTGCTAGAGGGGTGAAGATGTTGAAGTATGAGAGTAGGGAAGCGGGTCAGAAACATCACCACGCCTCGAAGAGGTTGGCTCGGTCAGGTGGGAGCTCCAGCTCATCCATGAGCCTCTGGACACCTTTGCATTGCTGCAGGAGATTGCAGCCTTGAGGCTTCAAAGATTCATGCTAGCTGCAGTGAGTGATAGCAGTTGGAAGGTGTAAAAAGGCTCAGGGTACAGCAAGCTAGTGTCTCACCCGGCCTCGATCCTGGATGACCAGAAGGAAGAGTTCCTTTGTAATGGCCTTGGCAGCAATCGCTGTCTAGACAGGACAGTCTTCCAACAATGGGCGCATAAGGACTCGTCTTGAAGTCGCCTTGGCTGCCAGAGCAGGCCCAAGTCTTTGTTGATTTTGATGCGAACAGCCAGTCAACGCATGTCGCCGTAGAGTCATTTTCTTGCTGCACCCCTCTGAATGAACCCCATCGAAAAGCGTCTCATGCTGTGATGCCGACTACCTGGCTTCTGATCACCAGCGGCTGCGAACCCTATCTTGACTCTACAGAGCTGGGCACCAAGCTATGCCATCGTGTACATCGTCCTAAGCAAGCGTTCAAGCGTGTGCAGCAGAGGGTCCTCACATGATTTAAGCGCAGGAAGATACATGCCTTCCAATCTTGGCCTCATGGTGCAAACCTTCAGAACTGCAATGTGCGAAGTAGTAGCAATGCCAGTGCCAAGGCTCATCTGTGAAAATGCCGGTGCGTGTTCGCATGTCGAAGCCTGAAGGGCGCCCTCCTTGTGATGTGACGGCCTCAGCATGAATTTGAGTAAGCAGCCCTTTTCAGAACAAATCTGTTTGTGAGTGCCACCCTTGGCTCCCTCTGCCCCAATCCCTGGCCATGAAGGTTCCGGACAGGAAGGCCCCTTCTGTTTCTTGCAAGGGCCAGACTGAGACTCTCTCACTCTGGGCACTCCGACTTCGTGGAAGGAGATGACGATTTGCTTAAGGCATCTCAGGTTATGTGGTAGTTTCCCTACAGTGGGGGGACCCGAAAAATAGTTTTTCCAACATCTTATATAATCATAGGGACACCCCCTCATGTGAAGAGTTCGTAGCAACAGGCCAGGCCACCGTATCCTCCTTCTCGAGGTCCTTTTGGAAGCATCGAAGAAGAATGTTTGCGAAGACTTTCAAAGCTCGCTTGTTCTGACTCTTGTATCCAAGCCCTTCAAGAAGCCAACAAAAACGTGAGATCTGCCCTGCCAACTTCTTAAAAAATCCTTTGAAAACTCCAAGGCCTGAAGTGACCCATCGAATTCATCAGATGCAAAAGCTTTGCTTGCGAGGCTTGAGGGCTACTGTACTCTTGTCACCCTGTCAAGCACAGTCCTGGAAGAGCCGGAAGGCTGCCGCAAATTTCTTCAGCAACTCGCCTCGCTTGGCGAGGACACTGGAGGACAAGTTGCACGCTGCTTGGGCCACCCTGGGTAGACTGCAAGAAGACGCACTTCCCAAGGCTCTAATTGAGGAGCCTGTTCAGGCATGCACCGTCTGCGCCCGGGGTTAATTCTGAGTTGGGCAGCCCTCGCACCGAGGGAGTTTCCCGGAGGTTGGGCTGGTCCAAACAGAAACTGAACACCGAAGGATACCCGTTTCTTGATTGCCCAGGTTTGCAGGGGCTTAGGTCCAAAAAAGGCATTCGAGTGTGGATGTGGCATGTTTGCCATGTGCGTGCACAGTGTTTTAATGTCTCGTGACCAATAGGCCATCGTGAAAGCTCGGTGTATATCCGAAAATCTATTGCCGTGTGAAAGCTCCAGGGTTCATTGCTAAATCCAAAGTCCTCCAGTATAGGCAGCCCGGGTGCGAGTAGTGCGGGCAATCCGGATGGATTCCCGAGCATGCTGTTCTGCAGTGGTTGCTTCGCTTTCCTTGGCCATTGGAGGCTGTGCAGGGCCAGGAAGACGTAAAGCAAGGATGCAGAATTGGGGATGGTAGTTCACCCGTGAAATCAGACACCTGAGCTTCGCTGACATCCTGTGTGCTGCAAGTGGCTTTTGCTGCCTTCATGGTGATTTCCACATATACCTTGGCTGAATCTGAGTGGAAAGCTCCTGATGGCCAAGCCATGCTCTCATTGAGCTGAGAGGGCAGTAGAGGGCAGGAGACAGGAATGAGTTTGATCTTTCAAGAACAAGTCCTGCCACTTCTAATGGGTGTCTGGCTTAAGTTGCTCGTTGCCGGGATTGCAGCGTTCAGAATCACTGACCCAAAACGCGGAAACCCGAAGCTGGCTCTTGCTTCAAGGGCAAGCAAACTCCATAAAAATGACTGCACATGTTGTGTTTCAGCCCGCCAAAGTGGCACAAGGTAAACGCACACCAAGCTGCAGCCAGGATCACGTTGAAAATGCCTTAGCAAAGGCTGGATCAATGGATGCATGCATAGCCCGCGCACAGTCAAGAACTTCCAAGGGAACATAGTGTTCAGCATGCTTTTCTTGCCAACACAAAGAAACTGTCAATCTGTAGCGACTCAAAACTCAGAGACAGATCATCCAAGAAAACTAATCTGAAACGCCTACCCAGTGTCCAGGGCTCTATCAGTGCCTGTGTGTGAAATTCAATGCACATGGGTGACGGTTTCGCATGCAACTTGAACCTTGACTTTGCTCCATGGAGGCTTCCTTTGGACTGAACAGGGATCCCATCTTTTTGGGAGCTATGATGTTTTGCTCCGTTGCTGCGCAAATGCAGCTACGGCTGCCTGCATAGCTGGTTTCGGGCATTCAGATGAAAGCAAGTGGCCCAACATTCAAAAGCGTTAAAATCCTCAAGATAGGACAGCTCTGCTCTTTTGTTGGCCGAGGGATCAAAGCTTTTTCTTGCTAATTTTGCACCCTTTCGTTATTGGAGACAAACTTTTGTTCAGCAGCTTTGCGTTTGTCAGAATTCACGACTCTAGATTGCCAGCCATCTAGCGAGCTTCAGTACATCAACCCTCCCCTTGGCATTGAGGAGGCCAGGTCCGAACTCCAAGTGTTACACGCATACTGGGGTGCTACGGGGGGTTATATGAGCTATTGTCTAAACTCCTTACCGGGGACCATATAGGGGTTTATATGGGGGAGTATTGAAGGGCTTATTCAGGGGGATTTTAGGAGTTTAGACAGTGGCTCATATGGGGATAATGGAAAACTTAAAATGGAAACTACTATATCACGTTGGGGTATATATTGGGGCTTTAGGGTACATTACAGCTCTAACTGTTAATCAAATTCTGCTGGCAGCAATGCGAGTGATAAGTGCGTCTAAGTGAAGCAAACTCCTGAATGCGGCAGCGCTGCCCATGGAGACCAGCATGTAGCTGACGATGTAAAAAGCAACGAACCTCGGCATCGGTTTTATGTAGAGACTGACTGAATCAAGAACGCTCAGACAGTTCTGGATGAGTGTCTTTGCCGCAAAGCAAGCTTTTAGCCTGTAGAATTTTTGCTGAAGCTCGGGCACCCTGTTTGCACAGTCCGCGTTCCCTTATCTGGTGCAAGATTATTCACACCCAGAAGCGCTACACCAAACTCGTTGGCGAGCAAATAGGTCAATGGAAATCCTGGACGCTGGAAGCAAGGTAACTTGCGAGCAAGGCTGACCGCACTCCAACAGCACAGTAGTACAGTATCTCTTTGTGGCTGGATGCTTGTGTGCTAGATGGGTCTTGACTTGTCACAAACACAGCAATCAGAATCACTTTGGCAAGAGGAATGAGAAAGCGCTTTGGTAGCACAGTTTGTATGTAGAACTATCTGTGTATCACACGTCCAGCAGAAGTGCCATCGAGCCTTGCGCATTCACGCAATCTCCGGTAAAGCATCGGAACGCCGTGAACATGGACCTCAGGGCTTAGAGATGAGGCGTGCAGCTTGAGATGAAAGCACAGTCTTACGGACCACATGCATCTCTTTTTCACTGTGGACTCTTGACTGTAAAGTTCAATCCCTGCGAATGCTCGCTTGTGAAGGCGTTAAGGTAGCACTGGGCTAAGTGGTGCAGCCATGATTTCAAGCAAGAAGCATCGGCAAGTTTTTGAAGTATGCATCGTCGCCAAGAACCATCACCCCAGCGGTACCTGACGTGATCCGGCAGGGGTTGCCTTAGGCGCTTACCGTCCTGAACTTGCGGGTGATGAGTCAACAGCATGAGGATTGCAGCAAGACGGAACTCGAGACCGCCACGTGGCCTCCGAGGCTCATAGTGGCGAAGCCAGCTATCCTTGGAGGATTGTTTGCGTGCAATCCCCAATGCATCAAGCATCGGCCCGCCAAGAAGTCTGGAAGGTTTCAATGTACTACGGGCGGTATGAAGTGCCATCTGCGCGGCACGTAAATCACGGAGACGAGCAAGGTGAAAGCCAGAACCAGCGTCCGAATGCCCGCCACGAGGCCCTGTTTCAGACTTCTCTGGGTGGCTGCACACACTCCAATTTGAGAAAAGCATTACAAGCACCTGCTAGAGCAGAGTTTGACCTGTTTCACATTCAGCCTGAGATGTTGGGAGGATCCCTTCCTGTGAGCAGCTTCAGCAGCTATTTGTAAATCGATGCCCCTTAGCGTTGCAAGGCAGACTCGTTGAACGAGATATGACTTCATACAACTCTTGCCTCATGAAAGGCTTCCCGGCGTGCCTTCACCATCAACCTGAGGTCTTTCATGAACTTGAGCCGGAAGACCTTCCTCAGCCCATGCAGCGGGAAATTGCTAGCAGATGTGCCCGTGCTTGTGTTTGTTGGGCTGAAGGCCAGACTTACATAAATGCGAGAGCCCACCTGTTGCTGGCAAGGTTGTTCAAGCAGTCTTGGAACGTAGTTCACGTAGACTATAAGCACCCTCGTGAATAAGTATCTTGGTTTACATTGTTTCGTGTTTGCATCTGCTACAAGATGCAAAGCTCCGCTCAATGGTCAGCCATTGAAGTCATACTGCAGGCCACGTCGCACTATACGCACAAGCCGTATTAGGCGGCAAAAGCGTAGCAGCGACAGCTCGCGCCCTCGTCTTGAGTAGCTTAACATGAAAATGATAGTCCCAAGCGATTAAAATTGCAACATGCAGCTAGTGTACAAAC